ACCTGGCAACGCAAGCTAGCTGAAATATGATTGGTTAAAAACTCTACCATAATAAATAAGTTATTTATCGAGTGGCTTTCAATGTTATTTAAAATAACATTGAAAGCCACTCAACTAAGTGGAAATAATATGACGTAAAGAGTACAGAGAATAATTTTGTTTACATATTTATGAAAATAAAATAACATAAATTATAAAATAACATAAAATACATAAAAGTAAATTTACTTTTCTGAGAATGTTTAGGCCAGCAGAGAAGGCCTTGCTGGCCCTCAGGGTCCGCCACTGATCACCGGACATTTTGCTGCTCCGCAGCGTGTGGTAGTCCGGAGATGGCAGCAGGCAGGTGAGGCAAAAGTCCTCTTTACATTGACTGACTAAACGACGGGAGGCCTCCAAGCCTTAAATGTCAATGTGGCGTAGTAAAGTTGGCTCATCAAATAATCTGTTAAAATCCTGCTTGGTCTGAATTTAGGGTGGTGATCACAAAAAATAAGTCAAAGCATTTCATGAATGCGTGTGTTTGCTGTTGTTGGGGGGAAAACAATTGCTGGTTTTATTTACTGTGAGACGAAATTCGGTTTTAATGGGAAATTAAATCAAAAATGATACGTAGGAAAATAACACAGTTGCCCCACAATCTTACATTCTGACAAGATTATATTGTTTGTGATTTGTTGTATATAATATACAATGGTCCATTCACAATATTTAATTTATTGTGAATTAATTTAATTCGGTCACAGCCATTTTGTATTTGTAGACAAAATGTTACTGACACCCTAAAACATCGCTTTCTTCAGTCGTAGGCTCATTTTCCTGTGGTACATATCACCCAGGTTCCAACCATGGGAGCAATCATCAAGAGAGATGGGAGGGAAGAAAGCTACTGCAGAAAATGGACAACAGCAGCCCAGTGGAAATGGACACGGAAAAAAATTGCACTTCTCCAGGTAAGAGAATTAACATGATAGGTGTTGTTTCACCATTAAGAACCTGATATTGTCTAAAATAGCCTTCTACTGCTCTATTAAACATGCATTCTTAAACTTAAAATCACCTATATGTTGCTATTTTTAGAGGTGGATGGAACGAAATTCATTTGTGTCATAATTGATGTCACATGATGGAGTGACACAACTGTGTTAAAGATTACACAAAAAATTGTATTCTTACCTTGAACAAAGGACTTTTGTGGACTGAGGGAGAAGATGCTGGTATAATTAAATAAAATGGCCACCATAAATCCCCTCAGACTTCCAAGGTAATCTCTAAAAAACAAGCATCAAAGTTCAACATAATTTCTCCCCTTGCTTATTAAAACTGCTCTTTTTTTTATCTCTGTTAAATTTAAAGCACATACTGCATCTCTGGTGGTCTTTTGCACTTACCGGTACCGTGTTGAGAAATTCAAAACGGTTTTGATCCTACCTTGTTGCTTCTGTTCTTATCAAATAAAATTTCAATTAGGGATGTAATGTGAGGAATGAAAACATATTTTCACACTGCGCTTCATAGAGCGCAGCACAACCATCGACAAACTAATTTATTGTGACAAACTAATTTATTGTGACAAACTAATATATGTGCTGTGATGACACGACTTCATTTGAAAAATGATTGGGGAGTGGAGTTGATGTGAGGTAAAATGGCGCATCCAATAGGTGATTTCAGAGTGCAAACACTGTAAAATGTTGGCAGCATGAAGAAAATGGTGGAAGGAATGATAAATGTGCCATCCCAGTGTATCGAGCTTCGGGACTCAACAGAAATGACATGGTCCACTTCAGAGGAAAAAGCACCCAGGCTATTTCCTGCTAGGCTCCAAAGCAACCTCTTCCAAATATGCGCAAGAAACTTAAGTGCATTGTAGAAAGGACAAATTAATTAATTAATTAATTAATTAATTGGGACAGTGCACATTAATCAACGCAACAGTGTAAATGCGCCAGACTTAGCATAAATGTTAGCTTTCAGCCATAGTCCCAAGGCAGGTTTCTTAACATAAGCATAACATAAACAGTTTACATAAAATAACTAAATAATATAACACAACACATACATAACATAAAACACGGACAGTCATGCAGTCTTAGCCACTAGGCCTTTAGGTGGGCTCAGGTATTAAAAGGCAGCAAAGTCAAATGTGTGTGGTAAAACATGTCTTCCAATGAACATTGATCATTTCAGTGTGCAAGACTCTGACTGGACTACCTAGAGCTGATTATTACACTAATGGCACTTTTCCTTTCATGGAGGCACAGCGGTCGACTGGTTAGCACATCCGCCTCACAATGCAGAGGTGCAGGGTTTGATTCCGGCTTCAGCCTTCCTGTGTGTGGTTTGCATGTTCCCCCTGAGCCTGTGTGTTTTTTTTTTTGGGGTAATCCGGTGACCTCCCGCATTCCAAAAACATGCGTGGTAGGTTGATGAAACACGCTAAATTGGTGTGATTGTGAGTGTGAATGGTTGTTTGACTATGTGTGCCCTGCTATCTACTGGCAAGAAGCCTGAAATTGGCTACAACATGTCTGCGACCCTTGTGAGGATAAAGCGACTTGCATAATGATTGGGTGAATGGACAGATGAAAAAAAGCAAAGCAAAGAAATACCTGTAGTACAAAAAGAGCGCCATAGACGTGTGTGCGTGTACTTGCGAGTGCACGCTCCCACAGAAGCGAGCAAATTTGTTGACAGACAGGAAAGGGAAGTAGTGTAAGTTAATGTTGATGTATGTAAACACACATGATCATTTATCATGTGCCCCAGTAACTATTGTGTCCATTTTTTCTCATCGAACAATAAGTTGGTATAGGGATAGGCCTACATCAAGACATTTCCATGGAACCGAATATTTTAAAATATCATTCACCATAACTGCACTTGGCTGTATGTATTCCAACAAGTAGAATAAGATACAGTGCAGCGTCATAGCATTTGCTATCCGTCCATCCATTTTCCGAACCTCTTATCCTCACTATTAGCATTTAGCTAATCAATATTGCTTATGTCTACGTTGGCTCCGCCGACTGCGCCGTTTGCCAGACCCAAAAACAATGGAGGTTGCGCTGGTCGCACGCCATTTCATCCATAATGATGATTGTGCATTGAGTAGTCACGAGTACACATCTATTTGTACTGTAATCCAATGTTGATTAAGTCCACACAATTATAGAATCCAGGAGCGGAAGGTAAAAGTACAGTTAAAAAAGGGAAACGCACGGCTCCGACGTGTGCCAAAAGCACGCCGCCCCCCGCGGCGGTGCCACGGCCATCGGGCCGGGAGTTTTGCCAAAGGAAGCCTTGGCTCCGCTCTCTTTCAAGCAAATGGGACCCACGCTTCAATATTTTGGGAAAATACTGCTTCTAGAGTTTAGGAGACTTCGGCTGATCTACGTTAGTGTATTTTAATGCAGCTTTCAATATCAACCTAAAAGGGGCGTAATTTTTTTTCCAATATCAGGACTATAATTATCGGGTCCGATAAATATCGTGCATCCCTAGTGGCAGCATTACTGTTTTTTTTTTTTTTCTCAGTCGTAAAGGTTTGACCTTGAAGTAGATAAAGCTCAACAGTCATGTTGAGCTTTATTGATGCTGCCTGACTAATTGAATTGAAGTTTCATTCAACATTCTTAGGATAATGTTTGTTGCCCACCCTTGCCAGCCATTTTTGCAGGGCTGAAAAGGTTTCCCAAGCTTTATGTTCTGGAAGGATTCAATATGGTGGAAATGCTTATCGATTAACTTTCTAAAATTCCTGTTCTCTGTATGCTCAGTACATCAAAAAACAGGATTCAGAAAGGAGCAGCATGGAGGGTGGGGAAAAAGGTGTCTCCTTTCAACAAAACATCAAACGATGGCATCATACCAGTTTTTTGCTCCCTTATTTTCTTGTGTCTAGCCTGCTGCTAATTTTAGACAATCTTTAGTTCCTGGATCCCTGTACTGCGCTGTCATTTATTTTTTCATTTCAGGAAAAAACAAGAACAGGCGCATGTAGCAGATAGTACTGAAGAAATAAGATGGTTGAATTAAAGCACTGTACAGAAATTGAACACACCCATCCATCCATCCATCCATCCATTCATCCATTTTCCACCACTTATCCGGGGTCGGGTCATGGGGGCAGAAGCTTTAGGAGGGAATCCCAGACTTCCCTCTCCCCAGCCACTTTTTCTAGCTCTTCCCGAGGGATCCCGAGGAGTTCCCAGGCCAGCTGGGTGACATAGTCTCTCCAGCGTGTCCTGGGTCGTCCCCGGGGCCTCCTGCCAGTGGGACATGCCCGGAACACCTCACCAGGGAGGCGTCCAGGAGGCATCCAAATCAGATGCCCAAGCCACCTCATCTGGCTCCTCTCGATGTGGAGGAGAAGCGGCTCGACTCTGATGACCGAGCTTCTCACCTTATCTCTAAGGGAGAGAGTGTCCGGACACCCTGCGGAGGAAACTCATTTCGGCCGCTTGTATCCGGGATCTCGTTCTTTTGGTTACGACCCAAACCTCGTGACCATAGATGAGGGTTGGAACGTAGATCGGACGGTAAATTGAGAGCTTTGCCCTTTGGCTCAGCTCCTTCTTTACCACGACAGACCGATACAAAGTCCGCATCACAGCAGACGCTGCACCGATCCGCCTGTCGATCTCTCGCTCCCTCCTGCCCTCACGCGTGAACAAGACCCCAAGATACTTAAACTCCTCCTCAAGATGTCCTTCCTGACCAGGAGAGGGCACTCCACCCTTTACCGACTGAGGACCACTGTTTCACATTTGGAGGTGCTGATTATCATCCCAACCGCTTGACACTCGGCTGCGAAACGCTCCAGTGAGAGTTGCATGGCCCTGCTTGAAGGAGCCAACAGCACCACATCACCTGCAAAAAGCAGAGATATACATATGTTCTCTCCAGAGGTCTTTTACTGTGGACCTCTTGCTTGTTAAAGATTTGTTCTGCTCAGCACACCTCGGCTCTCGCGCAACACTCCATTGTAGGAGAACAGGCCGGGATGACTTAATCAGGGCTTCCCTATGAAAAATGTGTTGGATGTGTGCAGGCCTGTGGCTGCAAGTTGAACTGTTTGCAGGAGCTCCCCGTTAAGAATCTTGCTGATTGATTGGAGGGCGGTGGTTTAGAATGCACTAAACGTCTACAGCCAAAAATGTTAAGGCCGTAGAATCGCCTTAACATTCAGTTGCACCATCATTTGCTTGTATGAACATGTCAGGAATGCTGGTAAAAGTTGTATTGAATAAATTAGTTACTCTTAAACTGTCTTGATTTTTAGTTGGCGTGTTGCTTAATACTGCAGCTGCTTGCTGGTGTTATGTACTGGGATTTACCTTCTTGAGCAAGGCATTGGTCGTCTTGCCTGTGCGTTTATAGTTGTTGGAATACATCTCAGCAGCCCAGTTTCCAAAGGGAGGGGATCATACTCTGCTGCATTACATCAAAACATGTTGCTGTTCATGGTTTGTTCAATTTATTGTAGCTCCCCAATACCCATCAGCAAGGCCATGACAGTTCCACCACTTACACACACACACACACACACACACACAGACGCACACACATCAGTTTTGCCCACAGCTGCCTGATATTATCAGAACCAACTAAATGAGTTTATTTTGGGCTTATCTGGACATGATTCAAGTAATCCATGTCTTAGTCTTATTGTTACTATCGAACTGTTTGCGGGCTTTCTTGTGCATCATTTTATATCGAGGACACGGGCGCAAGGCAGTCTCCAAGTGCCCAACCACAGCGGCTAACATTGTCATCCCCAAGTGTAGGAGATCTTCAGTTCTTTCGACCATTTGAACATTTTTAAGGTCTCCCTATATCAAAACGTGAATGCAACCTAACATCAGCTTGTTTCTCAGGAAATGAGCTAGTTTCTCTGGTGGCATACTTGACGGTGATTGGCTCACATAAGTTTTGATATAAAACCTCTCAC